ACTACAGGAAAACATTTTCCCACATACATAGAGATATAACCTCATATTCAAACAATTCTGCAGGGTAGGAAGGGAATGAATAACATCCTATTTAATTAAACATTAAGAAAAGTTATAGGAGATTAAAGACTTTTGCAGATACTTTAAGATACCATCACCTTAGGGGCACAGTCGGTTGGTCATTCAACTCTTGGTTTCGGCTCAGGTCTGATCTCAGGATTGTGAGATCAAGCCCCAGTTGGAGCACTGCATGGCCTCTCATGGGGCTCCATGCTCAGTGTGGAGTCTGCTTGAGTTTCTTTCTCTCTTTCTCTAGCTGCCCTTCCCCCCTCTCATTCTCTCCAAAATGAATAAATGAATCCTTATAAAAAGAGACAACATCACATTAGTAAGCTATTTCCCTCACTAGTAAACCTTGTTCCTCTTTATACTAGGAAAGGAAAACATATATTTCCTCATTCTCTAAAATGTACTTACCGGATAACTTCTTAAACAACTTTTATTCATGGATGATACATTATTCACTACTTTCTAATTATTATAAGAAATGTATACAGTTTGAAATTACTGTGTCCTCCTCTTTGCTTCTCCCATTTAAATTAGCTCTCCCACTTAAACATCTTTCTGAGTTTCTAACTATATGTGTTTGTGCTTTTGCTGATTAACTTCCACATGAGTTTCCATGATTTTCAGAACGCAGCACCCCTTCACCCTCTGCAAACCTAAAAAGCTCTTCTACCTCTGAGGAGTGAATTTCAGTGATTTCTCTGCTTATTTTCTGAGCTCTCTACATTTCTATAAAGCTGTCTTGCTGGTGACTCAGAGAAACAGCAAACCTGCTCCCTCCCACTATGGAAAGGACACAGCTCAGTAAGGGACACTGCCATTTATACAGAGGCTCAAGCCAAAAATCTGGCATCACCCTCGATTCCTTCCCTCTCTTCTTTACTCTCACACTCGGACTATTTCTATCTCCTATTGATTCTTTTTCCTCAGTGCCCCTCAAACCTGCAGACTTTGCTCCAGCTCTCTAACCTTAACACAGACATTCATAACTGGATTACTGCCTTATAATTAGTCTCTAGTTCATCTATTATGCCTATGTCTATCCAGCAGATAGAGTCATCTTTAAAACTTGTCTATCTGACCTTGTTACAGCCTAATCGACAATACTGAGTGCCCTTCCATTGCCAAAAGGGCAGAGAACAAATTCCTTGATATGGCTTCTGACCCCTCGTGACCTCATTCTTGAGTCTCTTAAGCATCATCTCTCACCACTCTCCTCACAATCAAGCCATACCCAAATGTGCAGATTTCCTTGATGTCACCATACTTTTAAATTTATATGTCTTTATTCAGGTTGTTTCTTTGGCTTAGCACATACCCCTTCTTTCTATCTTGGAAAAGGTCTTCTCTGACTCTGAGCAAGGTTGTTTCCCACACCCATCACGGTTTGTAACCACTTGCCCCATGCTTGAGGAGCCATGTCTGTTTTGTCTATTCCAGCATCCCTAGCACTGAGCACAAAGTAGTCAGAATAAAGATTTGTTAGCCAAATGAGTAGTATGATTCTAACTGAAAGCTCATTGTTTTTGAAAACTCATTATTGAAAAGAACTGAGAGTGAACATAATTATTAGAAAATGTAAGAAACTTTTTTTTTCAAGAGGCACAATTTGTCACATTTGATCTCTAGTGAAATCTGCAACATTCCAGGGTTTAAATCCCAAATGTTAAGTCTCCAGTCAGATTTGCACTTCATCAGACCTACAATCCACACTGGTGTTTAGCTGCCCAAGTTGACATCTGAGCTGACACATTTTATTTTGACTGTTTGAGATTTGCTTCCACAGCTGTTGTAGTACTATATTGTCAATCATTTGCCTTTTAGATCAGACTTTAACCAATTTGAAGGAAGAAAACAAAAAACCTTCAGAAGACTTATTTTTCAATGTTTTAGCAGGACATAACTACATTCTCCTCATAGATATCCATTTGCAGCTCTCAGATTGTGTATATTCTTTACAAGAAAAAAAAAACAGCGGGACTTGAGGCTATATCCTAAGTTGTTTTTTTTTTTTAAGATTTTATTTATTTATTTGATAGAGACATAGAGAGTGAGAGCACACAAGCAGAGGGAGAGGCAGAGGCAGAGGGAGAGGGAGAAGCAGACTCCCAGTTGTGCAAAGAGCCAGATTAGGGGCTCAAGCCCAGGATCCCAGGATCATGACCTGAGCCGAAGGCAGACACTTAACCAACTGAGCTACCCAGACGCCCTTATATCCTAATTTTTTAACTTGTCCTCAGTAGAAAAAACTTTAATATGTAGTCTTTGAAAATAAAAACCAAGTTTTCCCAAAGTGCTAAAGCCCAGGATAAAACGTTTAAGCTTCACTGCCTTTGTTCCACAAATGTTCACCAGACACTCTGGGCTGGTGACAAGTGCTGTGGTGGAATCATATTTTGATGTGTTTTATAATGTGCTTTGATCCTCTACTTCTTGTTACCTCATGACCCTTTTAACAGCAGCTGGGCATCCACTTGTATATGAAGGGGAAGGTTTTTACAGAAGAACACAGGAAAAAAGGAAAAAAAAAAAAAAGATCCCAGGCCTTTAAGCTTTAAATTTTAAACCATGAAAGACTTGAGACATAACACTTTTCAAACCATGTAATCAATTGGAACAGTTTTTTCCACCCCCAGATTAGTCTATGTCAAGAGAAAAGAAGAACAGAAAAGAGAACAGAAGGGGAATGAGAAGAGAAGGGAGAGGCACGGGGAGGAGGAGGAGGGAAAGAGCAGAGGAAGGGGGAGCTAGAGGGAAGCAAAGAATGAGACGTTGAGAGATCCCCCATACAGGGCCCTGTTCTAGACCTCCCTGGACTCTATTCAACTGGAGAGAAGGTTGGCACCTCCTGATAGGTTTAGGGATCTGCATAAATGGGAGCCCATCCCACCTTTCCCTGGTGGGTTGTGAAAAGGAACAAGGCATCTGAATTTTCCTATGCTTGCTGTTGTATCAGCTAAGATCGAAAAAATAAAACAGAAACAACTCTAATTAAAACTGGGAAATGTCATTGTGACAGGGAATTGGCTACATTTGCGGCAGAGAAACTGAGAAGCCAAATAGGATAATGACAAATCTAGAGATGCGAGCAGCAGCAGGAAGCCACTACTCCCCCTGCGCTGGAAGACCAAGGAGAACAGCTGTTGTGATTAGACCCCAGGGGCCAAGGTCACCAGGGATGCTGGAATTGTGGGAGGCCTGATGGAAGGGAGAAGATCACAAAGGAAATGCAGCTATTGCTGATGATGCAAAGAAAGGTGGAGGTAAACTATGGCCTTTTCCTTCTTCTTACCCTTCAATTGCTCATGAATGTCTCACAAGCACCAAATCCAACTGAATTAAGTGGACATGAGTCAGCCACTCTGCGGCAGAGTGAGAGAAGGGTGAGGCACGGGCCTGAGGGCAAATACACCCAGATGGGAGAGCAGGAAAATGTCTGCAGGGGATGTCTAGGACTATGGACCTAAGACCTCCTCACAGATTCCCCATACCCAGAGGGGACCAAAGCAAGGCACACATGACAAAGGAGCCAGAAGACTTAAAGGGGCTTTGGAGCTGGGACTAGGAAGACACATCAGGGATCTAACAAAACAGGAAACCAAAGACCAAATGAGCTCACAGCCATCCCAGTGTGTCCCAGCTTGGACAGAAAACAACACTGAAAAGATCAGACTTGCCTCCACCATAACAAGCTGACTCCATGTAACTGCCTCCACCCGCTCTGGTACCACATAGATGACACTACCAAGGAAAGGGAGAGGAGAACTTCTAGCAGAATGGAGACTGAATTTAAATTCCCTCTTAGATAAAAAAAGGAAAGACCCTAGTCTTACATCTAGCCCACTAAATGTTGGGGAAGAATAGATACAACATGGATTATCAGTAATGCAGTGAGAAATGGAGAGAAATGGGTCATGTCCAAGGATGTGCTGGGGCCGGAGATCCACATAGAGAAGTAGTTCTGTACTTGCCTGGAAGGAAGGGCTTTTTAGAGAAGGCCTCACTGGTGATATTTGATGAGCTTGAGGGATGAACAGGGATTTAGCAAGCAGATGGGAGAACCTCACCTCTGTTGTCTTCCTGTATCTCTTCCACTGCCTGATCTTCAAGAGAAGCCAATGCATTCCTTATCTAACTACAGCCCATTAAAGTCTTTCAGAAACCTGGCAAATCTCTCCAGATTTATCTTCCTTTTGATTGTTAAGTGGGGCAGTGCTGGAGTGATAGCATGAGTATGAACCGAGTTTCAACTCTGATGAGTAGCATCAGCAGCTTGCAAAAAATCAGTGCCTTTTTTAAAAATTAAGATTTATTTATTTTAGCGGGGGAGGGGCAGAGGGAAAGAGAGAGAGTCCCAGCCAGGCTGTGTGCTGAGCATGGAGCCTGACGAGGGGCTCAATCTCAGGACCCTGAGAGCACAACCTGACCCAAAACCAAGAGTCTGACATTTAACTAACTGTGCCACCCAGGCAACCCAGAAATTAGTTCTTCAAAATTATTCTTTTGTAGATTTGATAAGGCCATTTCTAGACTTCAGTTTTGAACTAAAGAGTGAGATCTCAAGGTACTCAGGTAGTCTTACAAATGTTCAGTCCACAAGAAAAACAGATATAAGCCAACTGGAATATATTATGTCCACATTACCAAACTTCTATAATGGAACAGATTTCAGATCTATCATGTAACATTCCAATCTGTCAAGACCTTGTTCAAAATACTGAATTTGCCATTTTGTAAGCAGAGAAACAAGACCATTGATTTACAAATAACCTCATCTGTCACTATTCCAGAAACAATATTCCTAATCTTACCTTTATAATAATAATTTAGGAAATAAAAATAATTGCTAATCTATTCATTGTTTACAAAGTGAAAAATGATTATATTACTGGAAAAAATAAAAGGCATTGAACTAGTCTGAAAATTTTCTTTACCTCGTTAGAGATGTGTGTTCCAGAGAGATCTACTGACAGCAAGGAAAAGATGTTTACCATATATTCAATTCCTAGGTCAGTCAAATATTCACAATTTCGTAAACTCAAGTAGTTTAAATTAGGGCAGCTGAAAGAAAGCAGTATGAAGAATTAATTTTAGCTTTTAATCACAGTGTCAGTAATAATTTCTTTATATCAAAACTATCTGAGAGAAGCAAATGTTATTGAAGCAAGGACTTTCTTTTTCTTAAAATAAAAGTAAACTTTAAAGTGGAAAATAATTTGGCATTACAAAGTAGGATGAAAGGGAGGTAGATTATTATATATTATATATTACTATATATTATATATGTATCATTCCTGTAGCAAATATTTTATATATATATATATATATATATATATATATATATATATATATATGATTTCATTTCAGATAACAATTTCCAATAAGAAAAAATATCACATGTATACAAAAAGCTATCATGTAAGTATGATGAATGACCACTAAAAGTACAAGGTCAGTCCCTTACATGTTTGCTACAGGAATTGACCCCTACTTTTGTACACAAGATCTCTGACAAGTAAGAGGATCAGGAATAAACCCACCAGCTAGAACATCTTTTGGGAAACGCTGGAGTGAAGATTTATGTAGAGATAATATCCTTGAAAAGTGAAGAAAAGTCACTCATGTCTAGATAGTGATAACTTCATTAATGACTCCATCTCAAACATTCTCTAATGTCAGATTAATAAGAAATATCTCAGATATGATCAAAAGACTAGTTTAATCTGACTCCAATGTCTTTTATTTTATTTCACTCATTATTAGACCAGTTCCTCAGTCTCCTGGTGTTTCCCAAATGTCTCTGAAGGTCTATTTCTGATGTCTCCTATTAGCAGATACACAATTTCTAATGATATGATATAAAATTTTATTGTTTTATCATACCGCTCTGATAGTTTCACAATAGAGACATCACTCAGGTGGATACAGTTACTTAAATTTAGCTCTCTTATCCTTATGCTCACAGGACCATCAAGAAACTGCTTTAGTCCCATATCACCAATTCTGTAGGAAAGAGAAAAGCTTTACATGTGATTTTAATGTAAATATATAGAGTATTACTTAAGTAATAGTTACTATATTCAATACATTCTAAAATAGCATGGTAATATCTTTATATGGGTATTGTGTTAACATTTTAAAACCAAATTTGATCATATAACTTTCAGTATAATAGAAAAAGTATAAATGATAGCAATGGGAGAAGTATTTATTAACATGTTCTTCCTATTCATTGTTCATTTAATTAGATGGCATGATTATTAGAATGATTAATAAGACAGATTGTCCTTAAGGTCTCTTTGGGGTTAAAATGTGATCAAGTTAAGCAGTCCCTGATGCAGTTTCTTACAAAAAAGTAACACTAAAACTTAGAAGAGGGAGAACCGAGACTAACATTCAAACTATGGCCAGAATCTTAGAGGAATTTTCACTAAATATAAGATCAAGTTAGCTGGGCTGAAAAGTCCAGTGAGTGACCTATGGATTTCTTTTCTGCTGAAGTACAGAAAACCTGGAAGAAGACCTTGACCTCAGTCTTCTCACACTCTCTATCCCTAATCAGAGACACCTGTGTGTCAGCACCATTTCCACCACCCGCCTCATCCCGAACCATGCTTTATAAATGACTGAAGGTCTGTTTGGCCCATCTGTTCCCTGTCTTCCAATGGGAGCTCTATTTCTAATTCCATTTGGAGATTGCCAGTTCCTTCTAAAAAGCATTTCAGTAAATAAAGCACAACAGGAGATTGCACACTGCATCCTAAGAGAGGGGCTTTCACACACAACAATCCTGCGCGTAGGTGTACTGATTGGAAGAGCCTTGGGAGCCATAGATGTTGATTGCTGACATCTCCTATACCCTCTGTTTGGTCAGATTTACAACGAACCGAGCAGTACAGGCAGAAGGTGAATGGGCCTGTTTCAGTTGAATGGGCCACATTAAGTGGATACCTCCCGTGTCCATCAACTCCCTGTCCATCTGTAATGGGGGCACTGTGGCAGCAGTTACCTGGTGGGTGGGGGAATGGGAGGGGAAAAGCGAGAAGGAGATTTCAAACACAACTGATCAACTTGTCTCTTGGCAAACACCAGGGATGGAGTATTCATTGAGAGATATTTTTACTAACCGGAAAACAAATACGGCATGGCAAGACTTAAAAAAGCATACCTCTGAAGATGATTTTTTAAAAATTAGAACATATTAAACAGTGTAAAGAAGCAGTAGGAATTAATAAGGAGCAACCTGGCTGTAACAAAAATATTCTAAGATGCATTCTAAGATGAGGGGCACCTGGGTGGCTCAGTGGGTTAAAGCCTCTACCTTCGGCTCAGGTCGTGATCCCGGGGTCTTGGGATCGAGCCCCATATGAGGCTCTCTGCTCAGCAGGAAGCCTGCTTCTCTCTCTCTCTCTCTCTGCCTGCCTCTCTGCCTGCATGCGATCTCTGTCTGTCAAATAAATAAATAAAATCTTAAAAAAAAAAAGGATGCATTCTAAGTTGAAAAGATGGCCACCTGAGATAAAGAACAGATGGCAAACATGGCATTATTTTTCTAGATAGCCAGGCTTTTCTAGATATGTCTTCTAAGGCAAGGGATACAAAGCAAAAATAAACTATTGGGTAATGACATCAAAATGGAAGCTTTTGCAAAGCAAAAGAAGCCAACCAAACAAAATGGCAACTTACTGAATGGCAGAAGGTGTTTGCAAATTATATCTGATAAGAGGTTAATATCTAAAATATAAAAGAACTGATAAAAGTCAGCTTCTGGTGGCAGGGTCTGAAGAAGGGGTGGCAGGCGCCATGTCCAGCCACAAATGTGGCAGGAAGAGGACCCTTGAAGTAGCCCAAGGAGACAGACGAGGAGGAGAAGGTTTCAAGCAGAAACAGAAAGAGGAGCAGAAGAAATTCAAGGAGCTAAAAGCAAAGACCATGGGGAAGGGCCCCCTGGCCATAGATGGAATTAAGAAATCTGGCAAAGGGTGCCTAGGTGGCTCAGTCAGTTAAGTGTCTGCCTTTGGCTCAGGTCATGATCTCAGGGTCCTTGGATGGAGTCCTGTGTCGGGATCTCTGCTCAGCAGGGAGTCTGCTTGCCCCCTCTCCTCTGCTGTTCTTTCTCTGTCAAATAAATAAATAAAATCTTTAAAAAAAAAAAAAAGAATTCTGGCAAAAGTGGTTCCTTGTGCCTGAGGCAATGGTGATCCTTAATTCCATTCCTGTTTAAACATCTAGATTCCCTGTCATAGCATCTGTTGTTACCTACAGCTAGAATGGAGTTTTGTCTTAGATCCTGTTGTACATTTAAAAATAAATTTTTTAAAAAGAAAAAAAAATCAATCATTTAAAAAAGAGCTTCTACAACTCAACACCCAAAAAATCCAATTAAAAAATGAGCAGAGGACCTGAATAGACATTTTTCTAAAGAAGACCTATAGATGGCCAACAGACACATGAAAAGATGCTCCACATTGCTCATTACCAGGGAAATGCAAATCAAAACTACAGTGAAATATTACCTCACACCTGTCAGAGTATCTGGTATCTAAAAGACAAGAAATAATAAGCATCTGTGAGGATGTGGAGAAAAGGGAAAATTTGAACACCATGGATGGGAATGTAAATTGGCACAGCCACCATGGAAAAGAGTATGGAGTTTCCTAAAAAATTAAAAATAGGACTACCTTAGGATTCAGCAATTCCATTATTGGATATTTATCTGAAGAAAATGAAAAACACTAGTTCAAAAAATACATATCCACCCCGTGTTTATTGCAGCACTAGTTACAATAGCCAAGATATGGAAACAATCTAACTGTTCATCAGTTGATGAATAGATAAAGAACAGGTGTATGTATACATATATACACACACACTATACAATACACACAATAGAATATTATGCAGCCATAAAAATGATGAGAGCATTTGAGACAACACAGATGGACCTAAGTGAAATAAGTGAGTTTGAGAAAGACAAAACCATATGATTCCACTCATAAATGAAATCCAAAAAGGCCCATATGATTCCACTCATAAGTGAAATTAGAAAGAGAGGAGAAAACCAAATGAATAAACAAACAAAAAGCTGAATCAGACCTATAAATACAGAAGACGAACTGATGGTTGCCAGAGGGTAGAGGGATGGGAGGTTGAGGCCTTAGAGGAAATACAGGCTTCCAGTTATGACTCAGTCAAGGGAATAAAAGGTACAGCATAAGCAATACAGTTAATGATATTGTGATAATGATATAACAGGACAGATGGTAGCTACATACAGATGGTGAACACAGCATAATGTATAAAGGTGTCAAATCAGTAAGTTGTACACCTGAAACTAATGCAACATTGTGTACCAACTATAATCTAATAAGTAAGAAAAAAAAGAACAGATGATAACGAAACTAAAAATTCAATGATAAGAATAATAACCTATTTTAAGTCATCAAAACCAAAACTGACCCTTTTAGAATACTGAATTAATAAGTAGAAGGCATATTTGCAAGTTCCCCTGAAATGCAGAAAGATAAAGAATTTAAAATAAATGACATCAGGGGCACCTGGGTGGCTCAGTGGGATAAAACCTCTGCCTTCGGCCCAGGTCATGTTCCCGGGGTCCTGGAATCAAGCCCCAAATCAGGCTCCCTGCTCACCAGGGAGCCTGCTTCCTCCTCTCTCTGCCTGCCTCTCTGCCTACTTGTGATCTCTGTATGTCAAATAAATAAATAAAATCTTTTTTAAAAATGACATCAAAAATAGAGAAGTAGGATTCAATCTTTAAGTAAAGAAGATTCTCGAAAAAAATATAAGAATAAACAAAAACAAAGCAATAATCAGAGATAGGTAAAAGCTTTTAAAGTAGCAAAACATGATCTGTACATTTAAAAAGAGAGAATAGGGGCGCCTGGGTGGCTCAGTGGGTTAAGTCTCTGCCTTTGGCTCAGGTCATGATCTCAGGGTCCTGGGATCGAGTCCCGCATTGGGCTCTCTGCTCAGGGGGGAACCTGCCTCCCCCCACCCCCTCTCTCTACCTGCCTCTCTGCCTACTTGTGATCTCTCTCTCTCTCTCTCTCTCTGTCAAATAAATAAATAAATAATCGTTAAAAAAAGAATAAATAAAAACAAAAAGGTAAAAAGTAAGTACAAATTGTAGAAACATAGAAGAAACCAAAGAAGACCTAATGTATCAGTTTTATAATAATTATAAATATAAATAAGTTGAAAAATTATAAATATTTATAAATATAAATAAGACCTAATATATCAGTTTTACAATAATGATAAATATAAATAAGTTGAAATAATTATAAATATAAATCCCTTATTAAAAGGCAAGAGATTGTCAAATTGGTTTAATAAATAAACCTAAATTACAAGTAGCCTCCAAGAAACACATTTAAAATAAAATGACAACACAACTGGGACGCCTGGATGGCTCAGTTGGTTAAGCGGCTGCCTTCAGCTCAGGTCATGATCCCGGCGTCCTGGGATTGAGTCCCACATCGGGCTCTCTGCTCAGCAAGGAGCCTGCTTCCCCCTCTCTCTCTGCCTGTCTCTCTGCCTACTTGTGATCTCTCTCTCTGTGTGTCAAATAAAATCTTAAAAAAAAAAAAATGACAACACAACAAAAAAAATTACAAAGATGTATTGGGCAAATATAAGTAAAAATAATATAGCCATGGCAAATAATCAGTACATTGAGTCAAAATTCTATGCTAGGTGCGCCTAGGTGGCTCAGATGGTTGAGCATCTGCCTTTGGCTCAGGTCATGGTCTCCAGGTCCTGGGATCCAACCTCATATTGTCTCCTGGCTCAGTGGGGAGTCTGCTTCTCCCTCTCCCTCTGCCTCTCCTCTTGCTTGTGTTCTCTCTGTCTCTCTCTCACAAATAAATAAATAAATAAATAATCACACACACACACACACACACACACACACACACACACACACACACAGAACCCCACTATGCTAGTAAAAATATTAAACAAGGACTACAAGGTAATTTTAT